GACAATGAAGCACAAGTATTTCATCCTTGCTATGGAGTTAACAAAGTTATGGAACATCAGCATGACATTTGTGACTGTCGTGTCAGTCGTCGTATGAGCACTAGGAACTGTTCCTAAAAGGCAAGAGAAAATGGGAATCAGAGGAAAGGTCGGGATCAATGCTATCCCAGATAAAATTGCACAGCTTCAGACTGGAGGCAAGTATATTAATTCTACTTATTAATACTACCCTATTTTCAGCAATATACTTGTTGAGTTGACAATTGTCCGTATACGCGAAAATAACTATTAGATTTCAGCCACATAATTAAAGAATATAGAAAATTTATCTGGAACGAATTCAAGAGTAGAACAGACAGGGTGGGAAAAGTGATTCACTAGTAACTGTGCAAGTGACTGCATTTTAATCAAACAGGACAATGGTATATCCATAGACAAGAATCTGTTCCTAGAGAATGAAACATAAAATCTGGAATTTTAAGATTCTAACAGGTCACCCAGACCAGATGATCAGATCTGATAGGATTTAACAATAAGGAAGCATTCTATTTAGTGTATTTCTCAGTTCAGGTAGGAGAGTAAATCTGAAAGAAAGTGAAACGATAAATAAAAATCTCGACCAGTCGTGTCAGTCATTATAGGCATACTAGGAACTGTCATTAAGAACTGCGGAACAAGAATGGAAGAATGAGAATTTAAGTGAAGAGTTGGTACTATCCAGACAATTGCATTATTGGAAATAGTTAAGAGTAATGAGGAGAATGCTGGACGATTAAGGTGACTTTCTGTCATTTAATCTCCAGTGTAACCCAACTCTCAGTTGTAACAGAGACAACGAAAATGTGCAGTTTGGTATCATTATTCGTGGAACAATGAAAATATTTCAGCCCAGATCGTTAGACAATCTCTTTAGTAAAAAAAAAAAACCTATATTCTACGCTCAGCAGCACATCTCTTGTGAGTAATTCGAACCGTATCTTGTCTATTGTTTCGCTCGTGATACCTGACCTTCGCAACAGTTCGAGATTCATAGGCTAGAAAAATTAACCGTCTGGATAGCCGCCAAAGTGATTAAAAAAACTCCCGCCTTCTTATTGCTGCAACCACGAACACGCTCCTTGCCCCAAATAAATATGTACAATACTGCTAAAGTGTGTGTAAAATAATTTGTCTGTAAATATCGAGCCAAACCGATGCACAGCTTCAATTTAAAATTTAGGTTCTGCCATAAAGTAGCATCGCTCGAAACACCAATCTGATAGTGTTTTAGTACTGCTATAGAGGAGCTCATCTGTAACAATAGTAAAATACTCCATAAATTCAATTACCTAAAAAGACGGAAGATTATTGAAGCAACTATCCATTAATAAAAATAATTATAGTCTAAAATCCTGTATAAAAGATATTATATGTTATTACACGCTGCTGGTACGTCACTGTTATATGACACTGCGTTCTGTAGCATTGGGTTAACATTCAAGCAAACAAATAAACAAACAAAAAATAATAAAAACGACACGTTTAAAACAATGCGACGCTTAAAATACATTTGATCTTCTTTTCTCTTTACCTACTCTCAATCCTGACGATAAATCATGCGAGTCGAAAGTTTCAACCCAATATGAATTTTAGCTATTTTATTCAAGAACAGCCAGAATTTTATTTGCATACCAGAAAAATGATCAATAAACTTAAAACACATAAAATGTCTTTTCTTTTTAATAATACATGTTTACAAAAACAGTTGCCTCCAAAATATATTGAATATTGTCCAAGGAGAACAAAGGCCTATTTTGAAAAGCGCACAGTGTGAAGCAGTTTAGTAATGGGCAAATAATAATAAAAAAAAAAATTTTATTTGTATTAAAACTCTCTTTTGAAAGTATTTAAAATAGGTACATAAGAAAGAAAAAAATATAAATCATATAAAGACAAACTTATCTTAGCCTAAGATAATATATATATATATATATATATATATATATATATATATATAATATTTAGTTATATGTCTGAAATTTTTATATATATATATATATATATATATATATATATATATATATATACATTATATAGGAGTTTGAGACAACGCTAAAAGAGTTTTTTCGGCAAAACCTATGAAAAATTCAAAAGAAATAGAAGTATATGGTTCAACACGTTATGTAATAGAAACGTAAATACAAATATAAGTAAAATATTAATCAAGCTCATCGTCAAACACTTCCCAAAATCAACGAAACTATATAAAATATTCATCAGAAGTACTTGGAAACTTATTTCTAGCTTCATAAAAATATGCAACTAATCATAAAAAATCGCAATAGAAAATTACCAGTATATCACGCAAACAACAGCTACCTCCATCTATAACTGCAAAACAAAGTGAAAATACCCACTGAAAGTTAACTTCTTACTAAATAACATAATGTAAGGAGCTACTATAATCTAGAGGAAAAAAATAAATAAATAAATATATATATATATATATATATATATATATATATATATACATGGTGCGGTGGATAAATTGTAGCCAGTTTATATTTTTTTATTTCGCGCGTTGTTTGTTTTTGATTTTGTGAACTGCACATTTTGTCAACTGGTCATTTGGGCACCGTCTGTAAGAAGAAGAGCACCATGACGCAATTTACTCCCCTAGAAATTTGGAAACGGCATGCTGTACTACTTGGCATTCGCACCGGAATTTCCAATACGAACATTTCAGAGTGTTTGGGTGTCAATCTGAGGGCTGTGCAGACGATTCGAAAAGAGATGGATGATATATCCAGTCACTATCTTGCGCTTGGAGTGATCGCTAGTGACGGCGACGTTATGTCTCCATTCATCTTCCCACAGGGCCTTAGACTCAACACGGAGGCCTACATCAAGTGCTTTGAGGGGGTAATGCTGCCCCGGATCATGAAGGTGGCTGCTGGAACATCCTATATCAGGCAACAGGGCTCTGCATCATGCCACACAAGCAGGAGAACTCAGTCATAGCTGTCAGACGATTTCTGCGACCACATCACTTCTTACATCTGGCCACCTAACTCCTCAAACTGCAACTCACTTCATTATTATGTGTGGGGTGCAGTTGAGCGGGAGACCAGCAAAACCCCTTGTAGCACCAAAGATGAATTGAATGAAGGCAAGGTTTATGGCATCATTCAGCAACTTAAACAAGGTGACCGTCCAGAAGAGTTGCAGGAGATTCAGAAGTCGTCTGGTGGCCGTGGTTGAAGCCAATAATGGCGATTTTATGGAATAAATTTACTCTTTTCTATTTCAAGATATGTTTGTGTAATTTTAGTAAATATATTTGTTAAAATGAGATGTCAGTGTTATTTTTATTTTTGGGTAATTTAGTCGACAATTTATCCATCACACCCTATATATACATATTGGAATAACAGAAAGATTCTGGAAACAGAGAAGCTACTGACACAAATCATTCAACAACAAAAATTTGCAAATAGCATAATAATCTAAAAATTGATGAAAACTTACAAACACAATCCCAAATGCACCAAAAAATAACATGGGATATAAGAAAACGGCACCAGCTTACAATAACACCTGGAAATATGTAACCTTTGTCTAGAGGAAAAAATAAGGATAATTACTTTCTCAGAACAAGAATTCCGAAACAAAAGATCAGAATTAATTTGAAAATGCAAACATGAAAACAAATTCCAATTACGCTATATATAATAAATTTTCTCCTTTCCCTTATTCTCCCAGTGGCCTATATAATGATCCCATGAAAAAAGCAATGACACATGATTTGAAGATAACTTGAGACGTGAAAATGACAGTCACCAAAATGTGTTGATTCCAATATCTTCCATATATATTTTTCTCTGTAGACATAGCTCTTCAAGTTTGCGTCGATTCTTCTGAGGAATTATTCTCTTTAGTTCTATCCACATTTACTCAAAGATATTTAAGTCAGATTTCTGAGCTAGTCACTCTTTCAATACAGTGATAAATTTATCAGCCATACACTATCGCGTTGATCTGCAGCATGGAACCTCGTCATGTTGAAATACCCTGCCTTCATCCAACTCTAGTATTAAACGGTCCTTCATCAAATGAATGTCTTTCAAGCTACGGACTATTTTGGCCAATTTTCTTCAATAGACTTTCAAAGCATTGAGTCATTGTGAGTGGAACCTATCATCGTGAACAGTCAGAGTCTGACTAGTGATGATGAAACTATATCAGCTTTTGAGGTACTGAAAGTTACAAAACTAATCTTCCCATTAAACTTTTAGTGCTATTCTAGAGGAAGCAACAACAGTTTTCCAATCATCTTTGTTTTTGGAACTACGTCCATAAACACCGGCTGATATTTATTAATGATCTGAAAATATTCCCAGTTAATAAAAAAGCAGCATTGATCACATGATTTTTAGAAGTCTGACTACTCGCAACAACCTTCATAGAAAAGGTCTTGGTGATTGCGTAAATTCTTCTAACTCCATAACTGGAGAGTGTGTGCAGCAACCCACTATATTGCATATTGTCAGAGGTTTTTGAGATGTCTAAAACAGCCGCTCTAGTAACAAAACTACCATTGAGCACATTACTGATTCTGTGGTCGATGGAAGTTAAAGCATTAGCAATGGACCTAGAAGAGCGTAACACATGATATTTGTCACCCAAGAGATTAGTTCTGGTGAGGTGATCAGCTACCTCATTGTTGACTCACAAAGTTTGCTAATGAGATTAAGGAGGCTGATGTGGCGTTACTGGGATGGAGAGGAACGCTTACCAGCATTCTTGAATACAGAGAAAACAGCTTTGATTTTATTTAATTTTCTTATTTCTTGGCAACTTACGTACCCACTGAGACCATAGCCTTGGGTGTCGGTTGGATGCCTGTCTATAAATCATATTTTGGAAGATTAGGGCGGGAAAATAGCTGCTTGAGGAAGCTATCTGGTCATACATCTTTATTGGTATTTGTGATTAGCTGTTAAAGTTTTTCTTTTTTCTTTTTACGTAAGCAAATAACAGCGAGAGGAAGATAGAAAGAAAAAAAAACGATAAAAAAGGAGAGAGAAAGTGAAACAGAGAATGAAAGGAACTAGAGAGGACGAACGAAACGATAAATGATGAAACAAGGAGGAGGTATAGAGGAAAGGATAAAAGCGTAAAAGCGGAATAAAAGAAGGGATAAAAGAAAAGAAAGACGGCAAAAAAGAAGGGAAAAAAGGAAAAGCGAGGAGATAGAAATATATGTTAAAAAGATAGGCAAAGGAAGAGAAGAAAGAAGGATAGAAGAATTTTCTATGTGACGCATCTGTTCAGATCCTAACTCTCCACAATTTCCTATCCCTTGTGGCTTCTAGCAGGTTTTCTCCCTCTCTTAAGGCTCTCTTCGTTCCGTCATCCATTAACACAAGCTCGCCAGGTCAGTGGCTCGCTGTTTTCCCCTATCTCTCTTAAGTGTTATATTTTCCAAGCCCTCTTTCTTCATTATGTGTCTAAAGATTTTCTGCTGTTTTTTCCTGAGTAAAGGTGTTTTTTCTGTTGCCATTTTCTTAAAGAATTTTTAGTATCCTGTTGCCTCTAGCTTTCTCCTCATCCGTATGGAGATTATCTTGCATACACCGCCATATAAAAGGTTGGTAATTCAACACTCTTTTCTTTGTTTCTAACGATTTTTTCCTTTTCTCAACACCTTGCTTAGCATTGGGAATGTTTCTTTCGCTTGTCCAATGTATATTCGATCATTTTCCATCTGTTTAAACACTTCCCAGGCATTTAAACTTATGCACATGTTTGATTCCAATTTAGAAGAATTACTATAGAAGAATCATGGGGAATAAAAAAATAATAAAGTTAAAAAAGGCGAGAGCAAAAGAAAGTTGACTGAAAGAGAGTTCAAGAAATGTGAGCGAAGAAACTGTTAGCATAGAACTTATCTAGCAATTTCAATTGCAAAATGATGAGATCGCGCTGCCAATCTAGTACTGCACTTTAATTCTTAAAGTCGAAGTACCAAAGAGAAAAGCTAATCAGAACACTTACTATGCAAATATTTATAGAAAAGGGAGAGAGAATCTACCTTACGGCGGTGGGAAAATGATTGAAACTGAGATGACAAATAGGGACCAATAACATTGCAGATTCTTCTTTGTATTTTTTCAGTAATCTCTAGATACAGAGCAGAAGCAGCAAACCAGATGTTACAACAATATTCAATATATGAAAGAATGGTAAACTTATAAAGGTGTAAGATATCTTCTGACAAGAAAGATTGTTTAGAACGACAGAGTGACCCAACCTCCTTAGCAATAGACTTAGCAATCGATTCAATATAATCGTGCCACTTTATTGGAACACGTTAGTCCTAGAAGACGCAGTGGCCCACTATCCTGGAGGTTACCATCAGCCATGCTGATGGAATGCAAAAAAAAAAAGTTCTTTGACGATTAAACGAGAGCAGTTTCGTTTCACAGGTGTCAAAATTAACAAGCCATTTCTTACCCCAGTTAACAGCAGATTGAAGGTCATTTTTGAGATCAGCTTTCCTTATTTTATCCTATCAGACCTATCAGACATACAAGACTTACTTTTAAGACAGGACAAAATAGATGTGTCACCAGTATAGTGTAAAAGTAAATAGAATAAAATGGAATAAGTGGTATAGTGATTTTCAACTCGTAAGTGGATAAATCTAATTAGACGAACTAAATCTAAAGAACGACTGTACTCTGTCAAAAACTGACTAGTGAGTATACTTACTGCTTTTATCATCACCTACTCTCCTGCTTTTCCTACATATTAATTTTAACGTCCGATCTGTCATTACTCTTATTTTCGTTATTCACACGTTGCTACTGTAACTTGTGAGTTCACATGTAGAATTTATTAAATAACTCTAATAGTGAAACGGTAAATACTAATATCATAAAAATTCAACAACTGGTTGCCGCAGAACATGTGGATTGCACCCTCTGCAGAGAAATAAGACCACGCCAAATGGAACTACATAATAAGTAAATGCGTATAGACTCAAATATAACCGACCGATACTTAACTATCCCTGAAGCAAGTAAATATTTGTAGACTAAAATATAATTACAAAGGTGGGGCTTATATTGGTATTGAATAGCCCTGCAATGGTTGAAATGTTGTCAAATCTACCAACTCAACCAAATCCTATATTTCACCAAATATCTCTTCAAGGGGAAAGCAAAATAACGTTTTCAAAATAACCTATTTTTGTCAATGCATTGAACTAGGATGTGACTATTAGTAACATAGAACATTATACATTGAAAATTTGATAAAAATTCAATGTCTGGCTATAAATTTTTTGGAAGTGGATTGGGGAGAAGACTTTCCGCATATTCTTGTTACATACTTAGCTTCTTTCTTCTTTCTATGTGTTTTGTCCCATCAGGACGTTGGTGATCATGGCTTTCCACAATTTCTTGTTATTTTTAGCATTTAGTAGATTTTGTCTTTTTTCTATCTTTCCTAAGCTCTATTCTGTCAATCATTCACACAAACTCGCTAGATATGCAATGCACTGTTTTCCCCTATTTCTCTTGTCTTCAATATGTCCTATTAGTTTCAAATTTTCTAAGGTCTCTTTCCTCATTATGTACCCTAGAAATTTCACTTGCCTCTTTAAGTACCCTTTAAGATTAAATTGAAAGAAACTATATATGCACACAAGATATCTCTCTCTCTCTCTCTCTCTCTCTCTCTCTATATATATATATATATATATATATATATATATATGTATGTGTGTGTGTGTGTGTGTGTGTGTGTGTGTGTGTGTGTGTGTGCTTTTATATATATATATATATATATAATTATTTATTTAAAAATATGATTCCAACGCTACATAAGAGTTCTCATGTTTCAAAACAAGAGCCAAAAACTTCAATATAATTATTTGAATTAAATTGAATTAAAGTACTAAGCCCTGTTCCATCTTCAAGAGAAATTTTTTGGAATAACTTATTCCTGCTTTCCTATTTTCTATATATTTTACACACACACACACACACACACACACACACACACACACACACACACACACACACACACACATATATATATATATATGCGTGTGTGTATGTATATACAGGAAACAATATATATATATATATATATATATATATATATATATATATATATATATATATAAACAGCTACTTTAAGGAAAATCTATGACAAAGTGGAAAAGTTTTGTGTTTTATCCTTTAAGACTTCGTTCGATGATCTCCTAAAGCACAAAACGCGTCACATGAAAACTTTTTACACTTTGTCATAGTTTTTCCCTAATATATATATATATATATATATATATATATATATATATATATATATATATATATATATATATATATATATATATATAGGTATGTATGTATGCATGTATACACACTATCATTCAAAAATTTGAAGCTATTCCCAGAATTAGCATGTGATTAACTTGACAGAATACTTTTTAAAAAAGCGAAAAAGAGCTCTTAGAGTCATTGAAAAATAATGGAATCATTTGTCAAACTTATACTTTCAGAAACTTTTGCAAGGACTGTATTTTCACGAGAGAAAAATTTAATCATAAAAAATTTTTTCTTTTTGTCATAATAAAATTTCTAATAAAACATCACGTCTCACACTTTTTAACCATGCATAATAATTTTGTCTTATTTAAAGAACAAAACAATTACTCTGTGGGACAATTTTAAAAAATGACCTGGGTGTCCTGAAACTTTTGAAATGTAGTATATATATATATATATATATATATATATATATATATATATATATATAGAGAGAGAGAGAGAGAGAGAGAGAGAGAGAGACAGACAGACAGACAGACAGACAGAGAGAGACAGAGAGAAGCGTGTGTACATGTAGAAATTGATAGACAACAAGACTGACAGAGAGAAAAAAGGTCGATTCACAGACAGAAGGAAGTGGTACACAGAGAAAGGCATAAATGAAAGAGCAATGTATCATAGTATTATTGGACTGTTGTGGTATGTGTTACTGGTGAACCATTACGAAATCGGATATCTGACGCCTCCTTTTGCCGCATTTTTGGTGCTCCGCCTATCCACAAAAATAAGCCTCTTTCACTCATGAACTTATAAATCTTGCTAATAGATAGATAGATAGATAGATAGATAGATAGATAGATAGATAGATAGATTGATTGATTGAGAGAAAGAAAGAAAGATAGGTGGGGAATGTGTTAAGAGAAAAGTCTCAGTTTACGAGAAGAGATCAAGAACGAGAGAGAGAGAAAGAGTGGGGAATGAGGAGATGGAACCAGATAATAAAGAAGTGGATAAAAGAGAAAATAAAACCAAGGACTTGAGAGAGATGAACTTTAGAGAAATAGAAGAGATCGAAAGAGAGTAGGCAAATAGAGAGAGAAAAAGTAGGAGAGAGAAATGTTAACAAATAAGTTTAAAGGAAATGATCAAGAGAAAGAAGGTAGAAATGAAGAAAAAAATAAGATAAGCTGACATTATTTACATTCGAAACAATGTCCCCCATCTTTGTTGTTATTATCACAACATTTCAACCGTTGTTCATTTGTAGATTCGGGTAATTTTGAACCTACGAGGGTAGATTGTTCTCGTTTCGATATCCATATCTTAGGATATCTCGTATTGCTCTATTAAGTACTGCTTAGCTATTGCTTTGGAAACAGACAGTAGTCTTGATGGTTAAAATGTTGGTCCTTGAATTTGGTGGCGTAGTAATTGTTTGTTCAGTTTCTGGGCCGGGTAGTGCAGGCAAAGATTGAATGGAAACAGGGCTAGCAACAACAGTGTAGTAATTTAAATAAGATACGGTGGTATATCAGTAAGATATATAATATTTGTCTATAATGTCTGCACAATAAATAAGCACAAAGCAATGTGGAAATTAAAACTTTAAACGTAATTCCCAATTATTTCACATTCCCAGATATTTCAGATGAAGCGAAGCTTGTCAAATTTATAAAGATTTTCTTATTTGTTCCTTATTCAATAATTTCCTCAGATTTAAACCATATTTTCAACAAATATATATATATATATATATATATATATATATGAGAGAGAGTGAGAGAGTGAGAGAGTGAGTGCGCATGTGTGTGTGCGTGTGCGCATACGGATAACTGAACCTTACTTCGCAGTAAAAACCCTTCATAACTGAGCTGTCCAAAAGGACGGCGGGTTATTCGGTGGTTACCCTACATAAAATCGGAGAAGGTTCGAATTTTTTTTATTTATTTATTTTTTTTATTAAAAGTCTCTCGAAGACCCAAGCCGGTAGACGACAGTTATACTGTTTAGAACACAGTTGTCTACTCGGATACGTGTATCCACTAAATATAAGATTTATACTAATAAGAACGATAGATTTGTGTGTTGCACAAATGTACAGCTTCCACATGAACATTTTATGCGTATAAAAATCCTTTTAAAAGTAAGAGTGAACTAAGACATTATAAACCATTATTACAGAAAGGTAAACAAATAGAACAGCTTGCATAATAACAAACAAGTAAGCTACCTTAATGATCTACTATGCTATAGGATACTCGATTTAATTTGTGTTTGCTTGGCACTTATGCCCTTGCCAAAGGCAAACCTCCAAATTGGCCAGGTCAGGAATTTCTGTTGTCTGTACCATGTCACCTTTACAACTTGTATGTTACTCAAAAATTTGATGGAAATTGCAAAACTTCCTCTTTTGAACCGTCAAATGTCATTAGGGGTCTAGTATGGTACACTGACTGTTTAATAGGTATGGCAATTTTGATTTGTACACAGATATTATAGCAAAATAATTTGTTTAAAAATGCAGTTTAGATTAACTTTATACCAAAAGTTGGTTCCAGTAGTTTTATATCAAATACTATCGATACGAAAGCATAATAAAGTGCTGTGAATACCTTTTAGCGTATAATTCTGATCGGACTTAACTTGTCAAGAAAGCTTACATAAACTATATAATGCAAATTGCAATATAAACGCTTGGTATATGAGATAAGGGAAAAAGAGTAACGTACAAACGGTTTCATGATATTTTACATTTAATTTTTCTTTTGTAATTTAGTTCCGGTGGTTTGATGCTTCTTTTTAAATTTGGTTCCTACGGTTCAAGATCTTTTTTTAACGTTCTTGAAGTCTTTAACTTAACATTCCGGTTAATCCGTTCTTCAACCGTTAATGTTTCTTCTTTGTTCTTAGTTTCATCTTAGTATTTTCAGTTATTTTACTTGATTACTTCTCCGAATGCCTTCAGGGTGTATGTTAATTTGTGGTTTCCACCCCACTTCTTTGAGATATTGTTGTCGTTTCATCATCACCAGATCTCTTTCGACTTGAATGCACACCACAAATAAGTATGCTTTCTCATATTCAGCAACTTTGTAAATATCTCTTATCAGTCCTCTTTAAATCTTCCTGTTCTTTGCGAACTTACCAAAGTGCTGCACGTCTTCCAAGCCCTTCAACGTTGTTATTTTTTTTACGGGGAAGGATGGAATTGATAGTTCTTTTAATGTCTTTGTTAAACGTGTATACTATGGCTGCCTGTCCAATGTCTATAAATGTTATTCTTCCATTTAGTATGAGTGACAAACCCATTTCCATAATGTTTACTGTCTGTTTCCAAAGCAATTAACTTGTGCTGTCTAATTTTGGTATTACTATCAAGTCCTTTGATTTTGGTTTCTTGGTGACAACATATATCAATGTTATAACTATTACCGTCTCAAGCCAAAATAATTCTTGCTTTTCTATTTTCACCAATCCTCTAACATTATACATCCCGATGGTAAAATCTTTATGTGCAGTTGGAAGCATTTACAAAGTTTTAAATTGTCAACTTTTAACTGTTGAAATCCAGAGAAGTCATTACCTTCTCCGTCAAAACTGTTTTTAAATGTATAACGATAACATAGCTTTTGGTGCTTCCATGACTAGGACAACATATCGTTTGTCATTTCCATGACGACAAAGTTGTTAAAATATTTTGACATACTTACCGACGTAAGATACTTACCTGCGCCAACAGCGCCGGCTGTTAAAATGAATATTAAGTTCTCGATCTCCAGGAACCATCCCAAAATGCAATACCTCCGGTTTAGGAGAGGACGAGGATCATTACCTGGCGCACCAAAAGGAGGCTTGAACAATTTCTGCCCTTTGTCTATGTATGCTTGGGTCCCAAGCACACTTTAAACTCGACTGTATACCGCATCCCGAGTATGGTTAGATGCCTACTTACAGATGTCTGACACAATTCAAGTTTTGTATAAGTAAAGATAAATATAGATAAGTATTGATAAAAATTTGAAAATCTGAAACAGTTTTTTACATTAAGTTAGATCACATTGGCGCATCGATTCTCTCGCAGCTTATTTCTATACAGACTTGGTTTAGTAAGAGAAATTATATTATTTTTCTGTTTATTATTTTAGTGAATATTCCCGTTAGTGTTAAAACATTCTTTTTAGTGTTATATGTACTGTACATATATAATTTTACTTCAATTTCATTTAATGAATAATTTTTCTCGCTTGTTTAATTCAAACCATAGGAATTTAATTATTAACGAGGAAAAAAGTAATCTATTAAATTATGTTCCAGAATTGGTCTTCGCCCAAATAGGCCTGGTTTAAAAATGGTCTGTGCTAATCTAGTCGCGCCAAAACGCCCACGCCAAAAGGTCCCATTTCTCAGGTTTCACGATGATTCATGATTTGGTACTATCAAGTTGAATTTTAGTTGTTTTGTATTCTATTGTATCATATTTTATTGTGAATGTGGCTATTCTACATTTGTGCTCCACTTATCAGATAGTTTGCTTATCATAAACTTTTTTTTTTATTTACCATTAAAAATATACTGTCTGTGAGGCAAACGCTAATACTCTTTTATGTGAGTTTAAACTGGCACAAAATGCAGCATTTACTGTTCCGCGCTATTTAGTTCCAATAGGAAAAGTGAAAGGATTTCCGTGCAAATTGACAGAAAACCAGAAACATTGTCGCTTTGGGGTATACTAATCGCCGTTTACTGTAAGAGTTACAATCTATTTTTGTAACGTGTGACAAAAATGGACCCTTTAAGATCATCTTATACTTTGATTAAACAAATGTTCCTTTTGATTAAAATATACGCTTAACATTTTACTTTTTTTTATACCAAAATAATAAGTTTGATATGGTACTAAATGAGCTAACAGTGAACGATTAAAAGGTAGCAGAAATTTGGCCCTTGAGTTTGTGACTTTAGAATTAGTATTCTAACTCTTGAATTATTCACAGGTGTTTAACGCAACACTTACCTGCTTTTGAATGTTCGCTGTCGATAGTCATGTTTAACCCATACGTTAAATATCTTGAAATAATATTACATGTGTCAGCATGTTTCGAGTACCTGAGATTTTCTTTTATTATCCAAGACGTAAAAAAGACAGTAAGTTAGTGAATATGTTTGAGAGAATGCGAGTTTCGTACGAATACTCAAGAAGTACCAGATTTATAAAATACCCTTTCAGCATGACAAGGCCAGGTGCTTAACAATCAAATCTGTCATGTTTCGTCTGGTAGTATATTTTCTCTGCTATTAGTAACTGACAGATCCCACAGAAGACTAAAAGATAACAAATCACCTCAGTACTACATTATCTTTACCATCTTTAACTGTTTTATAGTTTCTTGCAAGTTTGATCAAGGAGTACGTTATATTTTTGCTATTGAACTTACTGAACAACGTATTTTCTATTTTGTTCCACTATTAAATGAAATAAACAAAGGGTAGAAGTTGAGGAATGAGAAAGAAAGTTAGGAAGAAAATATATAAAAGGGAATAAACTAAAGAATTAAATAAAGGAAGGAAGGAATGAAAAAAGAAAAAAAAAACGAAAGCGAAAAGAGGGGATAATTGAATGAAAAATTAATAAAAGTAGGTAAAAAGAATTAAACTAAAAAAACTAAGTAAAATGAAGGCAGAAGAAAAGAGAAAGGACGAATGTTCTGGAATAAGGAAGAAATAGAATCAGAAGAAAGAATGAATGAAAGATGGTGAAAAAAAGAAAGCTAATTATATGAAGGAAAAATGAAGGAGGGACAGTTGAAAAAAACAAGGAGAAATAAAATAGAAGAAATAAAGTAGACAAGAAAGAAGAATAGAAGAATGAGTTAGAGGCTGAAGGAAGAGTGCAGCATATTTTCATTTTTTTTACCCATAATTCTACTTTTTCAACAAGAGTTGGGCGGAAAGTGATGTCAATTCTTAAACTGCCGACACTATAACTTACATCAAATAGTTAACAATGGATTCTCTCATGGCCTGCTGATTTTCTCTTTTTCGTTCCTTTTGAGGTGATGTATATTCTCGGCCTTATGCCAAACTAAGCTAAGCTTAATAAATTACATTCATTCAGTTCATTTTCTCGTATAAATATTTCACGAAGATTGTACTAGTTAATATCAATTTTATTGTGAAAACAAGGACTTGCAAAATAAGATCTGATATAGTAGAATCTCTATGTCAATGCATTTAATTAATTGAAGAAAATCAGTAACATATATGAAACCTCTTAGAGTGAATAGTTTCAGGGCAAAATAACTCTGTACCAGTCGATGTACTTATTGATTAACCATCACGCAAACACACACACACACACACACACACATATATATATATATATATATATATATGCTTGTGTGTGTGTTCACGCACACGCGCGTGCGTAAGGAAGGTATACCTTGTACAGGATATATTTTGCCAGTGTTATTTAATTTATACAAGTTTGGTTGAAGATGAACGAAAGACAATTGAAAGGAACCGTAGAAAAATCAAATATCTTGAGCTTTCGTTGCTCTTAAACCGAACCTGTTCACTAACACACACATAAACGCACGTATACATGAATATGAACAAATGTGTAGGAAATAAATGTTGAATACTTACGATCTGAAACTCTGTATTAAGAAAATAAACGACACGAACCAGAAAACAAAACAAATACAAATCTCTGGAATTTTTCACAACAAAAATGTGTTACATAATGATGTAAAGAGTTCTGAAGCGATTTGATATTTTTTCCTCATGATTCTTCTACTTTTATAAGTTGTATCCTTCAGGACGTTGGTGATCGTGGCTTTCCAAACCATCCTATCTTTATAGTACTAAGCAATATTTGTCCCCTTACTGTCCCTCCCACGTTCCACCTTCCATTTACACAACTTCCGCAAGAAGCAGATAATCAACGGACCCCAGTAAGAACTGTAACAATTTCTGCTATAGAGAAGTCAGGATTTATTTCTACTTTCCACACGAGTAAATATGACACGGGTTCAATTTAGCCCGAGTATTTATCCGTGCATCCATGTTGCAACAGAATGCAACACAAGGTTGGAGTTTAATGTGGGATTTCAGGAAACTATACAAAAAATGTTCAAGCCCCTTCTGTCACATGCTGAAGAAATTAAGAATAACTTCCCCGGCATAAGTACCATATAGTGAGTAACCTACGTACATGTCTGGGTAGTGACAAAATACCCCAGTCTGACTGTATTTTGTTGCAGGTGTCAGGATGTACCCACTGATTCGAAGTGGTGCTGCCTGGGAGACGGATCTTCAAAGCTAAAGCCGTTTCTGTCCTATTTTACACATTGTGTACTGCCTGATGTCGAGAGCCTATTTGTAACACTAACTGCGGTCACCTACTTTGGAGCCACATCTATCAATCTCGTATCACAGACGCTAATGAAATGAATTGGATTCTCACGATGTGCTCGATCGACTATCGTAGAGTTTGCTAGACTAAATTTAGATTCGTGTAACTCTGCTTATTGCTCACTATAGAGCGAAGTTAACGAGCTAGTGTAGCAAGACAATTTATAGTGTAGTGGATTCAATCCTTAATGTGTGTCTACTTTTGTGGGTAACAAGCTAGTCATATAAGCAACTCGAAAATATACTACAACTAAAGACGTCCAGAGTGTTGAACCAACCTCATTCTCACTGTATTCCACTGACAAGAAAGAACTTCTACTTAGATCCTCTTCAAAGCCGCTACTACTTTGTGGAATAGACTCCTGTGTGGATGCTTTCCTGAACACTAAAATCTTAATATTTTCAAGTTTAGTTATATATCTTCCATATCCTCATAATCTTCACTTCCTATTTCCTCCTCTTGCATTCATATCACGCATCTCACTCAGTAATCCTCTACCTTGATTAAGTTAAGCAACGTTGAGTACTTAGATGGGTGACCGCTTGGGAATACCAATACAAGTCCGAAGACAGGTATCGGTGACAAATAACTAGAACCCAGACGAACAAAAAATAGAATTCGATAATGCGCGTTTAGACACTTGACTCTAGAAAGACAAAATGTAGAAGATGGAAAAATAAAGAAATAGGAAAACTTGTAAGTGAAAGAATCAGAAGAAAAATAAAACGAAGGGATTAAAATACCATTAAATAGTAAGGAGATTAAGTTGTAAGGATTAGAAAACGAGAAGAGAAAACAAAAAGAGAATGATCATTAAGACAAAAGGGAAATTGCAAAAAGAAGACGGATAGAAGCAAAAGCTAGAACAAGAGGTTCAGAAGGAAGAAATAAATAGAAGACAAGATAGAAAAATACTGAGTGGAGGCAGACAAAAAGAAAAGAGGAGCAAGAAATATTAGTGGATGAAAAGAGAGGGGGAAAAGATGTAAGATAATAAGAAGTGTGAAAGAAGGAAAAGGGATTTAAGATGTAAGTAGTATCACTAAGAACTCAACCCCAAAAGTAAGATCACACATGCATCACCTCAATTCTGTGCAAAAATAGGACCACACGAATATCAAATTCAAATTTCTACATTATCATTTATTGACTAATCAGCGAATTTATCTCAAACGCCATTCAAACTTTGCAAAAGCAGACAGCCATTTCTGTGTCGCATGCTAAAAAAAAAATGAAGGTTCCATCCAGAAAATGATTAATAATCTTATCCCTCCTAGAAATCAATTGAAATTGGGAAATTTATTTATTAACCAATAAAACTTCTGAGGTTAATAAATCTAACTTTTAACTTCCTGTGATCCGATTTTTTTTTATAAATAGTGTAACGTAAATTAATAGTCTTAAAATAAAAATAGAAAAAAAAGAGAAAATAATATATAAGGAAAAGAAGGGTGAAGAAGAGTAGAAGTAAACGAGAGCGAAGGAAGAACAAAGATGAGGAGGAAGGGACTTTTAATAAGTCGAGCAGGAGAACGGGGTGGAAAAAAGGTGGGAACACCAGGAAGAAGGAATCGAAGAGACTAGGAGGATGGACAGAGAGAAGAGGAGATGAGAAAAAGAAAGAAAGAAAGAAAGAAAGAAAGAAAGAAAGAAAGAAAGAGAGGAGCAAAAGAAAAAAAGAAGTCGATAGGATACGGGTTGAAAATCATGAATAATAATAATGATCATCAACTAAGTCATGAAAATAATATTTCTCCGTCATCAATACTGAACATGGTATACTATTTTTTTTTATGGTGAAAATTATATTGCACAGAAAAAGAACATGAAATCGAAACTGCTTCTAAATAAATAATCTAAGAGGACTAACAAGTGAATCATAAAAAAATAAATTTTTCCTTGACCGAATTTATGGGGCCGAGATATGGGAATAAAATCACAAAAACGGAAGTAAAACGTGAAAAGAGAAATTCCTAGTAGCATTAATTAAAGATTGCGAAAGATTTTTTTTAAATATGGAAAAAAAGAAAAAAGAAAAGAAAAGTCTATGACTCAAAATGCCAGATAACTAAGACAGATGCTTATAGATAAGAAGCGAAAAAACAGAATAAAGACTTCTTTGACAGCTCAGAGATGGATTTAAAAAATCTGGTGACCTACTGAGTGCGATATTTAGCAGGTTTATTTTGGAAGCCAGTTCTTGGATTTCGTTAGTTCGATTCTCGCTGATTACACTACCAATGTGGCCTTGTACCAAACTAAAATAAGATTAATAGAGACGAATAAATGACCCACCCAGGTTGTTTTATTCGATCCTTACTGCATGTTTAATATATATTTTGAGGGGCATCTTGCCGTCGAAGCAAACTAGTTACTCAAATTATTACTAAAATACTGATTTCGATCCTGACTATGTGCTTCGCACGTGTGGCTTCGTAGCGTACTAAACTAAAATCTAATCATAAAGAAATAGTTAACAAGACTCGCCAACTCTTTCTCCTCTATTGTGGGAGCCTGGTACTTCTAGCCTTGTGATGTACTACACTAGAGACCTCTCCATGGATCAATGGTTAGCACTTTAGTCTCACCGATTCTTTCCACCCCAGTGAGTTTCCCACTAGGTGCCCAACATTTGTGGCCTTGGGATGTGCTAAGCAGGAAACCTCGCTCTGTAGAAATGGTTAGGATCGGTTCTTTTACTCTTGTGTAGCGGTTATCAAAGTCTAGGTAAATATCCCGGGTTTGTGAAAAACAGATTTTGAAAAGGGTAATGAAGGCATTTTAGATATAGACCAATTTTTTTTTACCTAATGGACACCTGATATGGAGAAAAGCTTATGTAAAAGCGAATTCTATTGTCAAACAAATTGCTTGAAAGAAAAAAAGAACAGCAAATTATAATATAAAAATTGTGTGCTTTGAATGAAAAAGGTGATATGTACCCCAAACTGGTACAATAGATCTTGTACTTTTCTGCTTCCATTTATCACCACATGTAACGCAGGGGCCAGCACTGAATTAAATTATCATCAGAACTAATCGACAATGTGCAGTATGAAGAACAAATAAAGATCCCCTCTCTGTGTAGTTTTAAAGTTGCAAGTAGCGCTACCAAAAACAAATCCACGCATTGAAAAAAAAATAAACCAAAAATATTCAGTCTCGTCTTTACTTTTATTGCTAACTCATAATTAATGTTCCAATCTATATTTGTTACTATGTCGCTAAATACTGTACACAATTAAATACATTAATGGATTTAGTATAGTGAATTTAATTAAGAATTAGATAACATAGATTGATCGATTTTTTGTACTCTGGGTAATCAATGGCATGCGTACGTCAATTTAGGATGATGGAATAAAAAGTCATTGTAATCTTGAGATCTGCTAGGCATATCCACTTGATCTTCATTTGTGACCTTGTGCCTACTCAGCTAAGTAGAATAAACATAGATATAAAAGGACTAATGTAAATAGAAGCAGACAGGTTGGATTAATTTTAGTCTTGCACAAGACATTAAGCACCTAATGAAGATCAAATGCACTAGAAACGGCCTGCTAGACAATCTTGCTGACTATAATTCCACAATGGCGTCTCGGTCGAGTCAGACAGAAACAGAATAAGATAAATATGAAGAAACTGGGACAGGTCGTTACGAATAGGTAGTGATAATTATCAGCAAAAGGAAAACCTATATTCGATATAGACATAAATTGGAGTTACCTCCTGGCTGAAATAGTTGCAGGTTTTCCATTGCCGCCAGTGGTCACTGCTCCAACCCAGATCAACGGTCAAGGATATTCGAATATTGTTTTTTCACGACATATATATATATATATATATATATATATATATATATATATATATAGCAAGATATGCCACAAGACCGAAAGTGTATGGGACATCCAGTGAGGATCGAACTCACTACTCAGTCATAATTGTTCTATGAGATTAGATTATTATATATATATATATATATATATATATATATATATATATATATATATATATATATATATATATATATATATATATATATATATATATATATATATATATATATTACTCGAGACTGACTATATATATATATATATATATATATATATATATATATATATATATATATATATATATATATATATATATATATATAGAGAGAGAGAGAGAGAGAGAGAGAGAGAGAGAGAGAGAATGGTCAGCAAGCTAATCTCACAGAACAACTATTACTGAGTAGTGAGTTCGATCCTCACTGGATGTCCTATACACTTTTGGTCTTGGTATATCTAAGCTACGCTTATATATGTTGTCGTGAAAAACAATATATATATATATATATATAATATATATATATATATATATATATATGCAGATATATATATATATATATATATATATATATATATATATATATATATATAACCTGTGGTAATAATAATGCATCGACACTGTCGAGATTATAAAATCATTGTGAACATAATGATTTTGTTACACAGTACGTGCTACCACAGGGCTACATTAAAACTGAAATGACCTTCTCGTAGACTGGTCACCCAAGACTCATAGTTAGAGAGCAGAAAAATGATGATTTCTTACTTTTCCCAAAGGTATTTGCGCGAAAGAGAATGTAACAAACTTGACTGGAATTCAAACACATCGATTTCTCCTCTCAGGTCGCTATTCATTACACCACACGTACATCGTTCAACTTGGTGATATTGTCAGATATTTCCTGGGCAATCTGCGTGAATGGTAATGATGCTTACTTTGACTACAGACCCCTCCTTGGTTTTTTGTACAGAAGTAGAGGTTTATCCCTTGTTTCCGGTTTAACATTCGGTTTCCGTTTCCTTCTAAAGTCTGCTTCAGCTACGCTACGTCAACACAGTGACCTTCTACCTTGAGTGGCTCTTGGGCTTTGTATTGAGTGAACATTAGTAAAAAAAAAATCAATGCCTGATACGGGTCATCACCTCACGAAGGTTTTGCAGAGAACAAGTCTCTTGTTTTCACAGCATTAGGTAGATGAATATATAAAAGTGAATGTACAGAATAATACAGTGAATTTGGAAGCAGATAAACAGTCAAAATACTGATGAAAACAACAGAAAGAGTATACATGGTTCAAATGTTTATGTATTATAGGTGCGTGTGTAAATGTTTGCTTTTATGTATATTAACAAGTATGCTTAATAGACGTTTTACTTTGTACTGAAGCGCTCACTCTCCCTTTCCCTTTCACGTGCTTGCGCATACACGCACCGACACACCCACGCACGCACGCACACACACACACACACACGCACTATATCTGTTTGCTTCTAGTTATCTATCAGTACGTCTCTATCTAACATGTACACACTCAGATAAGGAATATTATGTTGCAAGTATGTGGTATTCAGTTACGAATCTCTACCCTGAGAATTTAAACAACGTCCGTGAATTTAATGTAGTAAAGGCATAGCCGAGTTCAAATTCCTTTTTAGTCTGCTGCGTTCACTTTCTCACTTATACCCTTGAGAAAGGCGTGAATCCATCTCTTCTTCTCACGGCTATGGGTTAAATAGCACAATAGACTGTGCTTTCTAACCTTGGATAGCTGCCTGTCTAAAAGAAGGACTACTCTGAATTGAAAACAGTGGCGAAGGCAACGGGAAACTATTTCATTATCTTTCCCAAGGAGATATGATCATTTGCAGATAATAAAGAAAATGAATCTGTGAATAGATATAATTGTTTGCGATTTGATATTGCGAAAAGGACTTTTGACGCTATTCTTTGACAGGAATGTCCGATGCAATCCAGTTTGCAAGAGGCAAGAGATGACTTCGAAAGTTAGAAGGTAATATTTTCATGGTTAAATTTCCCGAAGATATGCTTGAATACATCAGATAGATAGACAGACAAATAGACAGACATATAGATAGATAGATAGATAGATAGATAGATAGATAGATAGATAGATAGATAGACAAACTGACACTATGTCATATTTTTGCAAGTCAATCATTTTATAATAAACTTGGTATTAAACAATGGATGTTGGCAAAAATTGCAGCATATATTTATATGATGAATATATCCTCTTAATTTCAAATTGTAATATCTGTTTTTATTAGAAATACTTAAAATTTATTGGTGTGACATTTTATGCAACTCGAAGTTTGTTAAATCTATTGCCTATATATATATATATATATATATATATATATATATATATAATAAGTTTTTTTTTTTATATATATATATATATATATATATATATATATATATAATAGGAAAACCTTTCTTTACCAATGCGTTTCATCCTCTGAGGAACATGAAGGTGAATGTGAATATAAATTTCCTCAGGGAACGAAACCTGTTGGCAACGAAAAGTTGTCCTTTTGTCTTTTATTTACATTGTCTTTACAGATATATTTTATTTATATTTAAATTTTACACACACACACACACACATATATATATATATATAATCGCATATTTATTGATAATTATGTTTGAAATTCATATCTATAAAGATTGTCATGGGTTTAGATACAAACTCAAAAGAGAAAAAAATATATTGTAGTGTTACTGAGTGATACCCGAGCTATGATTTAACTCGAGTTGTGGATAACGCCCAGCCTAAGAGAAAGACTTCTCTGAATTGAAACAGTAGGGAGGGCAATAGGAAAGCACTCCATTAACTTTCCCAAGACGTCATGGTAATTAGCTGGTGATAAAGAAACGGAATCTATGGGATCCATGATCATCTACGTCCCGAAGAGACATGTTATTTTTAAAAAATGAGTGATATAAACACAACATTCGAAAAAGAAACGATCACAGAACAATCAAATAGGAAATTGAAAATATTGTCAAGATAAGAACAAGAAAAATAGTTTTCCGAATAAACAGATGTGAGGAAAATTTAAGAGAGTAATAGGCAAGAAAATAAGATGGACCAACAAGAAAATACTTGAAGAAGCTGGTGCTGAAAATAAAAACTGAGAAAAAAGATGCAGAATATTAAGAACATTTGCTAAAGACATGAAAGCAAACAAACTACCAAATTTAACTTTTAATGAGAAATACATTAAAATTGATTGGGTTTTATGACTGGACTAGTGTTTGGGCCAATTCATGCAAATAGTCAACAAAACATAACTTAGAAGTCAATATTAGGGAGGTGAAATAATGTTTTGGGTTAGTATTCTAGGTCGTAAAATTATAGATTTCTTTGATTTAAGTTGATGATTGTGCAAAAGAATTATGCAGAAAATAATCTTTGGGTGTTTTTTGAGTGTAACAGTTCATAAACAATAAACTTTAAACTAAAGAATATATTCGTGAATACAATGCTCCTTCACATTTTGCAAGGCTCACTATTGACCACTTTGTGGAAAAAAGACATCAGTGACACTAAATTCATGGAATGGCATGCAGCTTTTTCAGATATTAATCCAACAGAAAACTTGTAATCTATCATTAAAAGTGATGTATGTAAGAATGGAAAACAATATTAAAGAAAAAGAACTATGGGAAGCAATGACACTGGTGTAAGTAATGTTTTAGTCGGAACAGTAGACAAGTTAACAAAATCACTGCTTGAAAGACTCATGAAGGTTATAGAATTTCAAGAATCTCATATTAACATTTAAAATAATAAAAATAATTTATTCAGATTGATGGGATATTGTTAATTAAATGTATGTATTGATATATACATTTGGGATTTATTTAAAAAATAAATTCATGCTTCACTTATTTGCATAATAATTCCTCAATCCGCAACACAAGTTATAACCAATATTTTTAATTAGAATAGATATTAAGAGCTGAAACACACAAGATATATTGCTCAAGGAAATATATTCTGAAATTTTTACCCACAATTGTTGTTCAATAAAAATTTAATTGTGAAAAAACCCCCAAAAAACATTGACTTGCGCGTTAAAACTGACATACTGAAAATGATGTAGAAAGATAGGGCAGATTTTAAGCTAGTTTATATACATGTAATGGTAATTTTGTAGGAAATCTTTTCTGCAGTTAATAAATTATAATCATCAAACTAAATTACCAAAAAAGTAAATACAAATATATATATATGTATGTATGTCTGCGTGCCTATGCGCACGCACGTGCGTATTGTGGATGTCTAAAATCCGGAAAAATAACCAAATATCCGAATCCCTTCTTATTCGACTGAGAACATAATGTTTGTATGTATGTATGTGTGTGCGAGAATGTATTTGTATCTGTTTTTCTTCCCGTGCATTTGTTTGGAATTTCATCTGGAATTTCAAGATAATAAGAAAAGAAGTTTCTTTTACCATCGACGTTCTTTCTGTTGATTATCTTCAGTTAACCTCATGCACGCGCGCACACACACACACACACGCGCGCGCGCAAATATATAATTCATCCAAACAAACTAAAGAAAATAAAGAAAACAAACAACCAAAATGCCTTCTTTGTAGTATTTTTCTGTTGAAGCAATTTATAAATAAAAATACTGCCAGCATAGACAATTATAAATCCTAAACTTTTAAAACATTTAAAAAAAAAAGAGAGCGAGACAAGTTAAAACAGTAAGTATAAGCTGTCCTTGTTATCTGTCACAGCGAGGCGGCATGAGAAATTCGTCGTTAGTTCTGAAAAAAATATTATTTTTTTTTTTTTTGGCAGCTTGGATAAAAAAGATCTTTGTGCGATGGTCGAATATTGCAGTCTTTTTGTTTCTGTAAGATTTATTTTCGAAAGAATTCTGAGACTGTCTTAAAAGTTGAAATTTAGACAGTTTTTTTTTAATGATTTGAATTGTCCAAGTTGTTTAGGATTTCTTGCAGGTGTAGTGGTTTCATCGTCCTTGGCTTATAATCATCATTGGAGTGGTAATTGAAAATCGCCTCAATTTGCTTGTTTGTTTATCAAATAATAATTATTGACAAGCGTGATTTTTTTAATTAGTCATCTGCTTTTTTATATAGAATTGCAGTCTCGGCGTAAAGCGTTTGTAAAAAATTGCATGTATAAAAAGCAAAAAGTAATGCATACTAATATTAGTATTACAGATGTTGCAGTGGAAATAACAGCAGTGATACTAGTATTATGTCGAAACAGAAAGCGTTTGGTAGCGATTTTTCCTAAGATTGTCATCATTGTCATCGTCTTCTTCCTTTCACGACACCATCACTATCTGGTTTTTGTTATTGATTTTATAATTATTATTACATTATTATTTGTAAAGATAATAATAATGATTACTACTACTGCTACTAGTACCAATAATGCTACTACTAATAATAAAAAGAAAAAGAAGTAGAAAAAGAGGAGGAGCAGGATGAAAAAGTAAAAGTAATAATTTCGTAACACTATTACATACTTTCACTTATCGATTTTACAAAGTTCATTTTATAATACATTTTTCTGATTGCATGGCACCTCATCTGTTTGCATCTTCTGATGAAAAAAAAACCGTGTTGTCTCTTGAAGTCTTTGGTTGAAACTTGTGGCAACTCCTACTAAAAGTAAAGACTGTAAATACATTACTAAACAGTAAAGGCAAATAGATTACTAAATAGTAAAGGCAAATAATAATAATAATTTGCTACTTTAAATTAACGAAGTAAAATACAAGAATAGGCATAACTGGGTGGGAAAGGTGATCCTCTAGAGAACATTTTGACCATATACACCAGTGATATGTGTGCATATTAGAATCTTCCCCAGAGAGGGAAACAATATTATCTGGTACTTTCAAATTCGAACAGATCACACAGTCCAGGTCAGAAGACGAGAACTGGCAGGAGTAAGCAAAAAGAAATCATTTCGATTTGCCCGCAACCACATGGTAGGTTTGATAAAAAAAAAAAATGTAAAAATATATAAGTATCTCAATCTTGCCAGAAAACTGAAGAAATTATAGAACATGAAGGTGACAGTCGTGCTGGTCGTTATTGGAACAGCAGAGAACAATCATGAAGAATCTAGGAAACAGGATGGAGGAATTAGACTTTAGGAGAAGAAATGGAACCAACGAGACGACAGCATTCCTAAAAACCGCCAGAATATTACAAAGGACGCTAGAGTAATGAGGAGACCACTTAAACTACAGGGTAAACTACCAGTTAATATGGACTTTGAAAATAATTACAAATAATAATACTAATAATAATTATTATAACTATATATACTTGCTGGTGTTGGTGGTGACGATGTTTTTGTTGATATTTCGGCATTATAGGTATCGCATTTTATAAAAGGTGCATTGTCCAAAGAAAGAAAGAAAAAAACTCTTGCTGAAATATATGCGTGTGTGTGGAGGTCGCCCATTTATTGTTTTTTTTTTATTATTATTATTTTTCTTCCTCTTTCCTTTTTCTTTGTGCGTGGAGTAGTGTGGATAATGAACCGAAATTCAGTTTTTAAAGGAAAAAGAAGAAATTTGAGCCTCGCGTTAATAATTTCACAGCTATATGTTGTTGCGTAAAAAAGTCGCTGAAAGAATTAATTCCGTGAATATGAAATATGTACCTTTTTTTACATTTTTGCCTATACATATATATATATATATATATGTGTGTGTGTGTGTGTGTGTAAGAGAGAGAGAGCATTTCCGTTTTCTGAGTTTGTTTTTCTTGTCTCAGTTTTCATGAACAATCAGGGTTCTTTTTATTGATGTTGCTGGGTGTCAGACCCTCTATTCTTATTAACTTCCGTTTCCGTATTTCTGTTTGTTGCTTAGCTGTGAATATAAAATCTTTTTCTTTGCTTCGATTTGAATTTAAGCTTTGAACAATTTGATCTTTCATTTTCCATTTTTTAAGCAATTTTGTTCTTTTTTTTAGTTTTAATTACATATATTTCTACTCTCTTGATTGAATGTCAGAATGATAAAATACAGTTAAAAAATCTTTTGCAATTCAACCAAAAACTATTTGACAAGATTTACGGAACGCTGTTCTATTTTTAATTCTGTTTTTTTTTCTTTCTTTCTGATGATGATTGCTACTAAGAAGGAAAACAATGACAACTTTCTCTTGACGGTCTTAAAATTAATTTTTAAAAAAACGGTTTGGAATTAAAGCTTTTCCTCGTTTTTTAAAGTACGAATATGAAAATGCTCCAGGAAAAAATACGAAAAAAAGAAAAACGATAAAAGAAAAAATGCAAATAATTATCAATATCTCCAATAAATATTATTGTTATTAATTGAAAGGCGCCACTCGGAAGAACAAATGCTGTTTATTATCATGCATCGATTTAAAATGTTCTAAGGTGTAAGATTTCTACTTCTTTTCTTTCCCTAAAGTGTTTAATAATAATTAATTAAATTAAAAACCATGAAATGCAGTTTTTATAATTTTAATTTCATTCAACTTTTCTAGCCACGATGCTTTACTCCTCAATCAATTTTAATTCTTTAAACTAGATTTAAATTTATTTAAAAATTAAAAGTGAGTTAAATTCGTCTGCATCCTTCAGTTTCTAAAATAAATTTCTTAACGCAAATTCTTATTGTCTATAACATATACGCAGACATATATGTATATTTGAAAAATTTTAATATTACTGAGCGTTTTTCGTTCAGTTCTGGTTTTTGTTCTTTTTTTTCTCTCTCTACTTCTCCGCTTTGTATAACGCTGTTTTTTGCATGAAATATCTAACATTTTATAAATGGTATTCCAAAAGGGTGGAATATTTCGTTTCGTCTGGACCGAAATTGGCATTCAATGTTACCTTCACGTTCTTGTTCCGGTACTGGTCCAGGGGTACCTTGCCGG